ATCATGTTTTCCATGATATTAATGTCAAGTATGTTAGGACTATCTCAAGAAGTTTGCACCATGAATACTATCACATTGGGCACCATATCCAATGCTAGGTACTTACAATATGTTCCCTCGACCCAAGGTTTCTAATCTATCTATTTTATAGTTAAAATTTTAAAAGCCATAATAATTATAATTGAATGAAAAATAATTTAGAAAGTTGACATCATATAAATTATCACTAAATAAAGTGAAAATTAAGTTTAAAATAAGAAAAAGAGAGTTCCAATATCATAGCAGCAATATGTCAGTGATGTGTAGGAATCTTGAGTGATCAAGAAGATTATTATGTAGTGTCCATGGCCTCAAAGGCTCTTCTTAGACAAGGACGACGTGGGCAATCTCTAAATGTTCTTGCAAAATCTAAAGATCAATAAAATGGGTCATCAAATCATTTTGAATAGCTATCACCTAACGGAGTGGAAAAACGACGACTTTATGACTCTCCGTCAATTGTCATCTAACAGAGATGAACTAGATAGAGGTGGGATGCATGTTAGAGAGTTTCATCCCTTAGTCTGCATAGCACGATGAGGCTCTTCATCGAATCTAGTATGCTCTTAAGAGGTGGTGACTCGTCTTCTTGTAGATTGTCCTCTTTTCGATGATAACTTATTCATCAATCAATTGGAGATGATTTACTCAATGAATTCAAGACTACTTTATTATGAATTATTCAATAATTTTAGTAACAATACTCAACAAATTAGCATTGACAAGATCTTTGCCAATGATTGAGCAATTCTAATAACTTAATCATTCACTAACAATCTAAAAGAAAATTATAATTTAATCAAATAAAAATATGAGTTTTGACTCTAGTAAGATTCAAACCCTCATTAGTTACCCACTAGCATGAGAGAGAGGAAAATAAGTTCTCAAATACCCTTATATAGTAACGTTGTCATAGGATCTCGTTGTTATAAATAAAGGAGTATTTTTGATATTAAAATAAAAAATATATTTTAGAGAAAGTGTGACCCAAGTTTAGTCCCACATCAATTATACGAATATATAGTAATACAAGATTTAGGAATCAATAAGTCCCTTTCTCACTTGTGTACAACCACTTCTTATCCCAAACTCAACTGGCCATTAGTGTTGTGTAAGAGGAGTGACACACACGTGCCCCCATCAATCTATAGCTACTCAAGCCCTTGCTCATCACTCAGCCCCAATTGTGCTTCTAACCCACTTGTAGGCTCGACTGACTAATGAGTCCCCCTCTTTTTCTATCTTTTTATTTTAATTTTTTTCCTTTATTTATCTCAAAAATAGGGTTATAAAAATTATATTAATTCACATAAAATCATATAATTAGTCAAAAAATCACATTAATTAATTGAAAATAACTTTTCACAATTTAACAGAAATATGTCTATTTATCATGAGTTAAAGCTAAAATTATATTATTTATTAACTCATGATAATGAAGACTTATCACACCCCCCAACTTAAATCATTAATAGTCTCTTAGTAATGAAATTATGTAAATTAATAAAAAATCACAAATATCAAACATCATAATTTAATGTATAAAAAATATAATTAAAAATAATATACTTTTAGACACTTTAGACTCTTATATCAAGTATTTAAGAATGATTTTAAGTACTTAAATATTTAAACACTCTTTAGAATAACAATTTAGACTTCACTTCTTCGATTCACATCTTTATCACTTCTTCTCTAATAAATATACTTCACAAGATATTCCAATTATCAATACTCATCCAAGAAAAATATTCATTCTACATTTATTTTTTTCATGACTTGATTTTTGAAGTTTACACTATAGTGGATAGGTATTGTAGAAAAATTATGACAATAAGAATGATGTCTCACACCCTTTGTGTACTCTCCATTTTCAGGGATTCACATTTGATAATCATTCCCTTGATGTGACTTGCAACCATTTCTATGATAATCAATTTATAAATTTAAATTGATGATCTTAATAATAGTGACTTAAGACCAATCATTCTCTCTCCTTCCAACATTCTCATTTCACCCCCTTTCTCATGTACATGAGAATCCTCTTTCTTCTCTCTCCCACCATTGTCATTTACTCCCCATTTTCTCTCTCTCTCTCTCACTCTATGTTGGTGATGCCCTCTCATTCCTCATTTTCTCTCTCCACCTTTTCTTACCTTTTCATCATTATTTTATCATATTATTTCACCTCACTTTTGGACCTCATTTTTACCTCTTGGCCCAAATAGCCTATTCCCTTCAAATTGCATCAATCCACTCCTTGTTGTGAACCACACAATCTAAACCTTGAAAAATCACTAAGAAAGCTTGTGGAATTCGAACCAACAAGAATCTTCAAGATATCAAAAATCTTCATTACAAAGGTGTGCTGATTTTTAAATTCCTTGTGAAGTTGATCATTGTTTTTAAATCATTGCTCTTAGAATTTATGAGATTCATAGGATAACCACCCTTATGTGAAAGATTAGTGGTCCAAACTATGGTTGAGAAGTTGTGTTTGATTCTTTGAATTAAATAACTAATAGAACAAAATTAAGGGTAGTTGAAAACCCAAAAATCAGTTAATTAAAATATTTAGAATCACAAATTTACCAAAATAAAATATTAAAATAGGTAAATATTGTGGTAAGTTTGAGGTCAATCTATAGAGAATGAGAATTAATTATTAATTCATTACTATTTAATTTTATTAATAGATTTAAATAAAAAGAACTCAAAGGAGAAGTGACAACGAGTAAGAAGAATTTTCACAATCAAAAAAGGGAGAAACAAAAATTTAGTAATGTAGAAGACAATAAAAGGAGAGAAAACACTCACAAATGAATCATAATACGAAGTTAACAATATACCTCGATCTATTCAAATTGTTCACACTCAAAATGCATCAAACTTAGAGAAAACTTACCTTGGGCCTCTATATTTCCCTAAGGCTATGTAGTTTTCTCTTTGAGTACGTTTCTCCTATGATCTTAGTTGCGAATCAAAGCCTAAATCAATTCAAAACACATCAAGATTACTGTAGAACTTCAATATGATTTCATTCAAGCCAATTAAACAATGAGACATACAAAATTATATTTTCTGCCCCTAAATGGTAGCTTAATATGTAAGGGTTTACACGAAGGTATGAGAGTACACGTGTAGGGTTGATTCATCTGAAATCATCTGATCTAGGGCTGTAATTAAGTGAAGGCATTTCTATCTTTTTGGCTACAATAAGATGAGGCAATAACTGGCTTCTTCTCAAATTGATTTGAAGTGTTGGATTTAGAGATCTTGTTGTAATTGTAGTATCTTACTTAATGTTGAGATCTTCCTTAATGTTGATTGTGTAGACACTCTCAATAGCTTCTGGTCTTCTCATTTGGTGACGCCATGTGTTAGTGCGTCAATCCTTGATTCTGTCACCTTATTTCCACAAGTCAAATCTTGTCTATTGAAGCATATGTCAATTTCCTAAAAACCATAAAGAAGATATCGAAAATTCTTGAAATCCTCTCAAACTAATATAAAATCAATTACGATTATAAACCTTAGAGAAAAATTCCAAAAACTTCTCTAAAATATTAAACTTCATGAAATATACAAAGAAATAATAAATTTTTATTTTTAATATGATAACATGCTAGATTGTAAGATTTAAGGTCCTGAATAAAACAATTCGTATGCCTTTCATGTGATACTCAACATGTTATCAATAACCCAATTGGTAATCAATGATCCTAATTCTCCAAAAATCATGGGATCATCTAAATATTAAGCCCTCAAAGATTTAATTTAAGTTAACTCTAAAGATTAATGTATAGCTCTCTTTAAGGAGATCTACTTTGGCCCATTTGTCCTACATCACAAATTCATTGACTTACTAATGAATTCTTATGTTTATAACATGCATTGACCTTCATACACATTTTACATATTTCATTCATTGCTCATTGAACTATAACTTTTTTGATACTTGACATACATCATGTGTGAACATGATATAATTCTGTCTTCTAACCATGTGAACTTCATATGTTAAGTGCTAACTTGCAGCTTATTAAGGAGCCAATATCACACTTGGTCCTTGGGTCAAGAAGTATGAGTTTAAGGTTGATAATCACATAAGGAGAAACAAGCAAAGTAGGCTCAAATAAAGAGTTATGGATGTAAGGCCCATATTCATTTAAAGGTTGTCACCCAAAGAGAGGAGAAGAAAGATCCACCACTCACTCAAGGAAAGGAAGCATTGATCCAACAAGGGAGATGCATACTTATCAAAAGGCACATGATAAGGCATGAAGGAGGATTCACCACCCACTCAAGGAGAAGTATTCATCCAGCAGCCAAGATGCATACTTATCAGAAGGCACATGATAAGACATGATGGAGAATCCACCACCCACTCAAGGGGAAGTATTGATCCAGCAGCCAAGATGCATACTTATCAAAAGGCACATGATAAGACATGAAGGAGGATCCACCACCCACTCAAGGGGAAGTATTGATCCAGCAGCTAAGATGCATACTGATCAAAAGGCACACAATAAGACATGAAGGAAGATCCACTATCTACACAAGAAGGGAGTGGCTCAGCCATTGATTTAAAGGTTAATCATATTGTAAGAATTAGAAAGAGAGAGGGATGTCATCGTATACATACTGTGTATCACCAATGAAAAACCTAGCTTATCTTAGTAGAACTTTAGGCTGTCACCATCTTAGCAAGGTTTGAAAGGTCCCAAGCTCCACACCTTGTGATCAAAGGTGTGTCATCAACTCGTCATTAGGTTACTTGCCTTGAACGAGGTGGTCTCTCATGGCTAGTAAGCATTGCCTCTTGGCAAAAATAAGGAAGGAGACGTGGTGATGACCAAGTTGATTTCAAGGAACCTATGAGTCGGATATTCTTAGATATGAAATAGATTCTAATTAGCATGAGAGTTGATCCTACAATCTCATTGATCACATGGCATCATTCACATTTCGACGGACTCATTTTCACACCTAAGCCCTATTTCCTCCCTTTCACATCTAATTTCTTCTGATTTGTGATTTCTTAGTGATTCCTACCAACATTAATCAACAAATAAAAGATAATTCTACCCACAATTCTTTGATGATCAATCCTTGAGCTTATCATAGTACTAAATTCTTTCACAATCTAGAAGAGTAAATCTAAAAGTGTAAATATTATCGATTGATTGATTTTAGGGCATCTCAATGACCCTTGAAATTGATCCTTCATCACATCAATTAGAACACTAGAAAGAAGGCACCCAAGTAAGAATAGAGAAGGGGATAGATTTGTACCTAGCAATGGCCAATGAAAAATTTGTGAGGAAATCGCTGATATAACATGATCTAGGTGACATGTAATGAATGCCCATGTGAATGATTGGTCCCAAAGTGCACACTCCTTTAGAAAGAAAGTGATATATTCCATAGATCTGACATATCCCAACTATAGACTTTATAATGATAGGGAGTTTATTGCCCTCTAGTCAATGGCCTCCTAGTCATGCATTAACTGTGTAGATGAAATTAAATGGTAGAAGCCTATGATAACTTGTAGATGTGTTCATGGTTTGGCCAAGTGCTACTAATAGTTGAGGAAATGAAGGAATATATTTCCTTCTCTTCATTTTGCTCAATTCCAAACAAGTAATTAATTGACATATGATTGGGAGGATGTGCCTTTGTTGCTCTATTTCTCTCCAAAGTATTTACGATATGCTTCATTTATCCAATGGGATTCTCCTCCCACTTTTCCTCTCATTCATGTTATACATAGGTGCACAGGTATGCTTATAGGATGAGCTCAATTTAGATGTACTCATATGTCGTTATCATGCAACTAAGTTCATGCAAATATTATGTATAAAATCTCACTCTTCGGTTTAGAATAAGTAAGGGTTGATCCTCAAAGAGTGTGGGTAATGAGAGTAAGAATTTTACTTATTTTATTTCTTATATATATATATACTTGAGATTGTAAAGAACATAATTAAATCTAAAAAAGTGAAGACAAAAGAAATGATAAGTGTAGCAAAGGGGAGAGAATAGATCTAACATAATAGAATGATAGAATAAATGGTAAAACTAGTTCAAACTAAGAGTTATCTATTTATGAAGGAGATTACAATGACACCCTAGATCTAGATCTTGCACAGACCTCATTGTGCGTTAGTCTTAGGCCGAGTGATGCTTGATCTATAATGATCTTGATGTGTTCTAAGTAGTCTCTTCTCCACAACAACCTTGAGCATGAGAATACTATTGATTGAGCCTTAATTTCTCTCTTTTTTCCTTCAGCTAGTCACTACTAGAGAGAGCCAAAAAGTGTCCTCCAAGAGAAGGGTGACATGTCTTAAACCTCTAGAGAATTAGTCCCCTTTAATAGATAGTTATGATTAATAACCAACTCTTTTAGTAGATGAATGACTTAGATTCTTTCACAAGGGTGACATTCTAATCCTCCTCTTAATCTCATCTTATGGTGCCTGATAAGTCTTTATTATCATGAGTTAATAATTAATTAATAATTTACTTTTAGCCTTAACTCATGATAAATAGACATATTTGTGTTAAAGTATGAAAAGTAGTTTTTAATTGATTAACATGAATTTTTAGGTAATTATGTAATTTTATATGAAATTATATAATTTTTATAGTCTTATTTTTGAGATAAATAAAGAAAAAGAAATAAAAGTAAAAATAAGACAAAATTAGGGTGAACCTGCTGGCCAACCGAGCCCGCATGCGAGTCAGAAGCGCAGTCAAGGAGTAGCCGCGAGCAGGGGCTCGAGCAGCTTGGACCGATAGTGGCGTGTGTATGTCACCCTCCTTCTATGTCACCAATGGCCAGCCAACTGTGGGGCAAGGAATGGTCATACACGTGCAAGAAAGGGACTTGATCGAAAATGTAATATTACTATATATTCACTAGACACTTCACCGCACAAGTGATGTGGGACTAAACCCATGTCACACCTTCCCCAGAAAGGGCAAGCAACCGACACGAGTTTGAACCCTCCTAGAGTCAAAACTCATATTTTTTATTTGATTATCGCGACTTTCTTATAGATCACCAATGAAGGAATAAGTAACTAGAATCGCTAGATTATCGACAAAAATCTCATCAATGCGATTCACGAAGCATTGTTACTAAAATTACTAAATGATTCGCGATAAACAGATTGCAAATCCATCGAGTAAAGCATCTCCGATTGATCGACGAACTAGCCATAGGTTGAGAAGAGGACGATCCGCAGGGAGACGAGTTGCCACCTCTTGAGAGCATACCAGATGCGATGAAGAGCCTCCTCTTACTGCACAGACTTGAGGATGAAGCTCCCTAACATGTGTCTCACCTCCATCCAGCTCTTCTCCGTCAAGTGATAGCCATCAAAGAGCTGCAAAGTTGTCATTTTTCTGCTCTATGGGGTAACAATCACAGAGACAATTCAATGACCCATTTCATTGATCTCTAGACTTTGCAAGGAGATCTACAGATTGCCCATATCATCTTTGTCTAAGGAGAGCCTTCAAGGCCATGGACACCGCATAACGATCCTCTCAAATGCTCAAGATTCTAATGCATCGCTGACGCATCGCTGTTGCGATGTTAGAATTATATTTTCCTACTTTCAACTTAATTTTTATTTCATTTAGTGATAATTTGTTGATTTTAAATTTACTTAGATATACTTCATTCCATTCTGATTCTTCTAGCTTTTGTAGATCTTAATTTGATCAATTAAATCATCTGTAATTACTTACATAAGAATCATCAAACAAAACTTTATTTCTGCCTGATTCACGTTCACTAGGTGCTGATGTCATCCTAATGTTTTCAGCCTTATTTTCCTTTTTTATGAATTTTTAATTTATTTCTTTTTCATTTCCTAGTATAAAATTTATAAAAAATAGTATTCTTTGAATAAAATTCTGAATAATTACCAGATATTATATTACATCCCTGTGATCGACCTAGAAAATTATCACTTTTTTGCAAGTTTTATTGAATTATCATTAATATATTTATTTATAAATACTTTTAAATATCTAAAAATTCATATTTTCTAATTTAATAAATTTTAAATTTGTATGATTTACGATACAACGACTAAGTCATGTCAGTGCCCTAAGATGAGTGACCTATATCTCATCTTTTGATAGCCCTTTTAAGCGTAAATGAGTTAGGCCAAGATGACGCCCTCTCTTGAGCCCATAAACATATTCTACCAATCCTCTCCATAAGACTTAGGCTTTTCCTTGGGATGAAGACTTGGGTTTCTTCCTTGAGCTTAAGACTTTGACTTCTTTTATTACTTCTAACTCATAATAAGAATTCATCTAAGTCTTTGCAATCAAATAATTATCAAGAAAATGTGAGAGAATCATCGCTTGATTTTATAAAAGTCAAGTAAGTTTAGTATCAAAATATAAATAAAATAGTATATACTTAAACTTAAATGATAAAATATTATGAATATCATAATAAGTTGATAATACATGTATAATTATGTTCTCTACCTATTAATTAACATCTATATATAAGATATTAATACATGGATGCAACTACTAATTTATAATTATGAATGGACCATTACTTTGCAAATCCCTTTTTCTCTCTCTCTCTCTCCCTTTTATTTCTATCTAACAACAAATATACACTTTCACTTCTGTTCATTTTATTTTTATCATAAATGTCCAAAGCATCAATTTTCTAATGCATCATTCATTTCCTATCAAATTAGTGTAGGGATCAACTACAGTTAAGAGGTTATAAATATAGAGAAAACAATAATACATCATCATCAAACACAAATGATTGGGGAACTTATCTGATTTTCAAAAATGTTGATATCAAGTTTTTAGTTATATTGCAGCCATTCATTTTTTATTTTATACCTCTTCTTGAGTTTTGTCATATCTTATTTTAGGATCTCATCACTTACTACCAAGCAAGAGTTACATTTCCCATTGCAAGAACTCTCTTCAAAGTCTCTACTTTCCAAAGAGCATTAACTACTCAATTAAATACCATGCTTATCGTCTGTTGGTAATGATAACCCATTAACTTGATGAAACACTTGGACTGAGCAGGAGTATTAGTCCCCTATTCTAATGAGCATTCAAGGCTTTGGTTATATTCCTCAATAATAAATGGTTGAGAATGAATAAGGTATTCATACTTGAACTATATTGATTGATGAATATGATTTTGCCTTTAATCATCGAGAAAAAGAGTGATACCTACCTCTTTAACACATGACTAAGATAAGTCACTAGTCATCTATTTGACACAAAAATTGCACAAATTCTAACTTTTGTTGGCAACACATTTATCCCAACATAATTATAAGAAAAGCTCTAATATATAATTATGAACAATGCTATGTCATAGCTCTCCTTAATTAATTTCATATAACTTTTGCCTCTTCATACTAAGAAAATATTTTCTTCAATGGCTAAACTGGTGGAGCTGAAATTAGTCCAAAAAAATTATAAATATCTCACAGTAATCAGATAGGAACAAAGGAACCACCACAAAGACTTGTGAGAAATTCAGAGCTGTCACTTAAGCATGCCATCTATCTTTTCATAATCTATCCCACCTCCTTCTTGCCTAATCATGTGATGGAAAATTTAAGTCATCTGTCCCCAGATTGATACCTTTTCTTTATAGTATTAAAAGACCTCTATCTAATTGACTAATTCAATCTCTCCTACATGTAACATTTTAAAATTGAGTTATTTACTATATGACACTTAGTGGTCATTGATAAAGTGAAACAGCATAGCCAGTAATTTGTAATTACCTTAATGAATTTAAAAGCCCACCTTGCTGATATCCTTCTCAGTGGGTTTGATTTAATGAAATTTTATGAACTGATTTAGTAGAAAGAGTTTTTTGTGATATTGGCAAGTAAACTTATCATTCAGGGGTTTGCAGGAACTTTTTAATAACCTTAAAAAATCCAACACTAAATTACATACACATAACATTTAGTATGGAATTTACCCAAAATTTTCCATATGAGCTGGAAAAGGAAGGAGGGCTTGGTCCCTTGCTTTATCTTTTGGTTCCACTAGTAGCCATTACACTATTTTTGGAACCTTATGGTAATGTACTTGGAATCAGCTAAATATAGAAAAAATTATAAGTCAATAGAGGTAAATAAGAATATTTGAAATAACTACTAGTAGATATTTTCTTTGTATAGCTTGACTAGAACAATCACTATTTTTATTACTCTTGGGTCGTCAACATCAACTTGGCATGAGGAGTTCACTTTAAAACTCGCTCCTAGTTCATAGTTGGGCGACTCTCATTAAAGAAATGGGCCTGATGGACCGATATATTTGAGTGGGTTTAAGTGGGCAGAACTGGGTGGCTGAAGATGGAAGCCAAGGCCTGGAGCTGGAACGAGGGCTACTAAGATGGACTCTGGTGGGATTGGTGGATAGATAGACAAATATATATATAGCGAGAGAGAGAGAGAGAGAGAGAGAGAGAGAAGCTTAATGGGCTTTGTGTGCTTTCGGGAAGGACCTTAACTGATCCAAATATGGGGCAAAAAGAGAGAGATTTGGAAGGAGGTAGTAGTGTGGTCGAGGACGGTTCATGAGCGGAATCATATTTTTGGGTCTATTTTAAAGTCCAAGCCAGTAGGAAACGGTGCTGGTCCGAGCTTCGGGCCCCCAGGGTGAAGAAAACACCCATAACTACAAGGTCAATAGCGCTGCCTATCAAAGACGTCAAATTCTGGCGACTAAACTTTTAGACTTAAATTGATTGTCATTCCCATCCATTTATATCGTATTACATAATACGATATCCATAATCAGATTGACATGATTAAGATAATGGCACTGGAAATGTGATATTGGGTTTGGTGGGGATCTCAAAATTATTCGCTTTCACCCCGGTTGTTCTTACCTCTGGCTTCAGGGAAGAGGAAGAGAGAGAACAGTTGAAGGCGCATTCAATTCCTAGTGTCAATTAGTCCTTCCCTGTAATTGAGTACGAGAGATAATATCCCAGCTGAGCAATGGGAACTGAATGCTCATTTTAATGCAATCTGACAGGGGGTGGGTAGGTTCATTGATGAGAGGAAGGCCCCATCAAAGTCCTGCCGATTTGTGATATTCAAGCAGATCGGATCCCTATGGAAGATAAAGAATGCCTCTAAGAACAGCGCTGCCAGAACCATAAGAGGGCTTTACCCGAGTTCGAAGGGAGACGATGTGGCGCGGGATTCTTCCCTGAGGGATGATAAGGGACGGGAAGGGGTTATCTGCATACTCAGGAGTGGAATCTAGGGAGATAACAGGGGTATACTTTGAACAGATTATGGGTGAGAATATGGATGTTCGTGAACTCGTTGATTGGGCGTACAACTGCCCGCGAAAAAGTGCCGTAAAATTTTTCTGACGGGACGGTTAAACGTGGAGTTCCAAAGGCCAGGCATGCGTTAGTTTCAAGGAGCCCGTTTTACCTCCCCTTGTATCATGTGTCTCTCTCTTTCTGTTTCCCTCTCGGTGCTCTCTGGCTCTCTTCCTCCCTGCAGGTCTACTTTCTCACAGCCCTTTTTCTCATCTTCTTCCCCCTTCTTCCTCGCTCTCTCTCTGTTTCTCCCTCTTCTCTATCTTACCCCACGTCTCTTCTGTCCCCCCCTTTGGCCCTAGTCTCTCTATCTTCCTCCCTGACCCCGTTCTCTTCATTCCCGCTCACTTTCCTAACCCCGGTCTCTCTCTTCCTACATTTCTAACCCTAATTCCCTTTCTCCCTTGCTTCCTCTCTCTCTCTCTCTCTCTCTCTCTCTCTCTCTCGCTAGGAATCTTAGAAATTTTGAGACATTTCAGGCGGAGAGACGATGGAGCTATCTTTCACAGAGACACTGAGGTCTCAACCTTCATGGGTTCTCCTCATCTCATCGGTTGGCGCCGCCATTACGATAAAATTCTCCTTTTCCGTCCTCCACTGGCTCTACGTCGTCTTCCTCCGCCCCTCAAAGAATCTCCGCGACTACGGCCAGTGGGCGCTCGTCACCGGCTCTACCGACGGCATCGGCAAGGCCCTCGCCTTCGAGCTTGCCCGGCGAGGCCTCAACCTCGTTCTCGTCGGCCGGAACTCAGACAAACTCAGCCAGGTCGCTGGTGCAATTCAGGACGAAACACACACGGTTGTGGTGGAGACCGTAGTCGTTGACTTCACCGGTGACCTCTCCGGGGGAATTCGACGACTGGAAAGCGCAATCAGGGGCCGCGACGTGGGAGTGCTGGTGAACAACGCGGGGTTGACCTACGACCACGGCACCTTCTTTCATGAGGACTTGGAGGTGTAGATGAGGATCTTGAAGGTCAATTTGGAGGGGCTTACGGCGGTCACCTCGGTAGTGCTGCCGGCGATGCGGTTCAGGAAGTTGGGAGCTGTTGTCAACATTGGCTCCGGGTCAGCGATGGTCATCCCTTCCCACCCACTCTTCTCAGTATATGCCGCCACCAAGGCGTAAGTGTTTCGTCTTTCATGAAATTATAAATCCTCATTTTTTTCTGAAACATTTGGGTTTTCATGATGATCGTACGACACTAAATAAATTAAG